TTTCTAGTCTTTGGTCTTGCTTCAATCTATTAAGTACATTGAGTGACCCACTTCAAATGAACAAAAGAGAGAAGAGCTATTTATTTTATCAACTGTTGTCAATTTATTTGATTGTAAAATAGGCACTTATTAAAAGATGTATAAAGTGTGGATGTATGAGCTTCTGAGTGTGTGTGTGTGTGTGCACGCTTGGGTGTTTGTGTATAAGTTGAGGTAATTAGTTCAATTCATAGTCACATCTCTAAATAGAGAGTTTTCTTGTAGTCCTTCTGCCCCGTTAGTCTTAAATGTGAAGTTTTCCAGTAAACAGCACAACACCCAAGGCCTTCCGGAGATAAATGAGTATAAGGAGAAGTGTGACTGCTGACAGGGAGAGAAGGCCCTCTGAGTGAAGTGTTCCTAACAGTAGAAGTTTAAGATAACTCATTTTAATGATGGAGAGTTTGCATCAATGCATTTGAATGAAACTTCATATTATGCAATAATGATGATTAATTTAGAACTCTAAAGTGCAGAAAACCTTTTCTATATTAGCCAATAAAATCTGCCTGACCCATTTTCTGATTAGGGGCTATGAGGAATAATGTTTACATTTGTAACTAGAGAAGTCTTATCCAAGAATTTATATATAAAAAGGCATAGTATTTGTTTGTTTGTTTGTTTGTTTGTTTTTTGGTCTTTTTGAGATAGGGTCTCACTATGTAGTTGAGACTGACCTGGAACTCACTATGTAGCCCAGGCTGGTCTGGAACTCACAGCGATCCTCCTGCCTCAGCCTCCTGAGTACTGGGATTACAGGCACATGCCACCAGGCCCAGCTAGAGTAAAATTCCTAACATGGGTGCAGCCTGGGAGTTATGATGGAATTCCTGACAATGCTGAATGACTTTGATAGTATCTGCATAAGAGATAAAATAATTCTTTTTTTTCTCATTGAGTTTATTGGTACATTTTAGTTGTCCCGTACAGTTGCATTCATCATTGGGATCTTGTACCTTTACATGACAGGCCTTGGTTTTCATTTTTTCACCTTATCCCTGCCACCCTTCACCCCCCTCCTCCTTTATTTACAAATACTTTATTTCCATTTTTTCTTTTTCTCATATTTTTTTTCTTTTACCTTATTACTTTCTCCTACCCTTCCCACTTGAGATAAAGTAGCTCTTTAGGAACAATAAATTTGTTAAAGAAGAAGATGCAGATACGAATCTCTAAAATGTGGTCCAGGTCTATGCTTGAGAGAGCAGAGTTCAGTATAATTGGTACAAAGAGCCTATATGCTTTCATGTTTGGCTTTGTCCTCTTTTTCAAGGCCATTCTAACATAATTCTGGCATTGTCAACAAAGACTACAAATACTTAGAAGTACAGATTTTCTTCGGTACTGGGGATCGAAAAAAGCCTCACCTACAATTGACTGCATGAGGCTTTGGATGAACATCTAGACATGGTGCTGGACAGAGCATCCATAACAACCCTGAATACAACAACTAGCTGCCTGTTTACACAGCTGACATATGAAAGTAGAGTGAGTCTAGGTAAATCATTGATTTTCAGTTTTAGAACTGTGATAGCAGAGAATCAAGATACCCTGGAAAAAGCAGCCACAGGACCACATTGTTCTACTTTTGAACTAGGAATACTCCTGAAGCAGAAAATAATTTAAGATAAAGATGGAAAATGAAAGTCTGAGCCGGGAATTTAGCTCAGTGGTTCTGCCACCTGCCTTGCAAGCACCCAAGTTCACTCCCCGGTACCAATAAAAAAAAAAAAAAAAAAAAAAAAAAAAAAAAAAAGGCATTTAACAAAAGAGAGGATGAGCATTCAGTAAAAATTACCTAGGATATTTTCAGGTCAAACTGAAAATATAAGACAATGATGCTTAAATAACATCAAATTGATATAATAATACTTTAATAAAATGTCAAATGAAGGATAGGATTCACTACTTAGCTTATTTTCTTTGCAAAATCGTTTCTCATCTGAACTTGAAATGTTAGCTCACTCAAATTTGAAGCAGATTTAAACTCTTCAATAATAATATGACATTATTGTTCAAATATATATAAATATATACATATGTGTATGTGTTATTCACATACTGTACAGAATACTCCCAGGAAGTCATGGTTCAGAGTTCATGAAAAACACAAATATCCTCCAAGATTTATTTTTGGTGATAGGTTTGCAAGTAGCCAATCCGAGAGAATTATTTAGCTTTCTTTGTTGCTGATTGGCTGCTGCTCTGTAATCCATCTCCAGCACATACACCAGCATTCTTACATCATAATAGGTGCTGTACCACATAAACTATCTCCAGTGTTCTCTGTTTTGTTCTTCTTAAAGTCCTAGATCCCTATGATGCCACACAAACACCCTGAATCTTCTAAGGCTTTATTGATGCAGTATTTTATTACATTAAATTACATAACTGTGGGTGACATTACATATTCAGGGTTTAATATATAAAAATAGGCATTTTTCGGACCATATCTGAAAATAACAGTTTTTTTCATTAATGGTCATTTACCTAACTCTCCTACTCACTGCGCGATTCCTTACATAATATTATTGTTAAGCCACCATTTTGCTTCTCTTGAAATTTTGTTTTTAGTTTTTATTTTTATGAGCACATTTGCAGTGCATAATGGCCACATTCATAGTGGGGAGTTGGTACATGTACATTATACATCTTAATACTTGAAATGCTTTTAGTGAGCAATGGTCCACAATACCTCCAGGCCATTACAATGTTAAAATTCACTGTTGGATAAAACACATTTTATCTGCAAGAAAAACTCATCTGTATATCACTTTTTCACAGTGGTCTTAATTGCACCATCTTCAGTAACACAATTTTTCTCTCCTGTAACTTTAATCTTCATTTAGCCTGAAGCTCCAATCCATCAACCCTTAATGAGATAGTCTAGAGACTCTAACCACAATGCTCATCCTCTTAATTGGTGTTATTTAGTGGGATATGGATAGTTGCTGCTCAGGAGAATTTGCTTACCTAGAAAGAGAGTAGGGTTCTCCCCCATCTTGTTCACTTCACTCCAAGATCCTGAATGATTTCCAAACACTAGAAAGAAAAAATTTCTCCTTAACTCTTGTAAGTTTGGGCTTGGGTAGATACCTCTGATGAAGTACAGATTAACAAGAAAAAGGCACTAGGTTTATTAATATATGCAGTGTGTATCATGTAGAAAAAAGTTCAGTGAAAGATAACTCAAGCCAGTGATTTATAACTCTGACTTATATAGCATCTTCATCCAAGAGCAACATAATTTAGAAAAGTGAAAAGACAAAGACAAAGCAGTTTTAGGCTTTTGAGGTAGGAAATTGTGGGAAGGCAAATATATGAGAAGATAACAGAGTATTTGTCTGCTCACTTGGTGCCTCCTGCTCACCTGCAGAAACATGCTATAGAATGTTTAGGGTTCACCAAAACTAACACACAAACCTGTAGTCACAGGTAGTGCTGGCTTTTTCAAGTGTATTACATTATTGCCAATTTCCAAAACAGCTCTGTTATATTGGTAACATCCTTAAAAAAATAAAGATAATTAATTTCCCTCAAGGGGTGCAATACTGAGTATAAACAATCACAATGTGTAGTGTTGCACAATAGCAGAAAATGTAATCTTTTGGCATAATGACTTTTTTATTTTGTCTAAATTTCTTAGCAATCTAGACATACCACTGTTGTTTTCAGTGGCTATATTTTCATAGAATGATGGACTATCCTGGGTCACACTACATGAAGATGGAAGCCAAGGGTGGAGTCAGAGGTTAGACACCATTTCTCAAGGCAAAGATGATGCATCAGGCAGGCTATGTTTTCAAAACAGGTAGAAGAGAAAGATCATGGATATGGTGACTGCCTTGAGTCTTTGAGCACTCAAAATCTTTATTTCCAACCACCATTATTTCTTCAAATATGTTCTCCAAGTACATGATTTTAGTCTCACTGTGAGCTCTGTCTCTAACCTGCCAGGTCAAAGACAGTGACCCCTCATACCCAAAAGGGGCCATTGCTGCTGTAGATAGAATATGATGGCCAGATGTTTGATGCCTGAGTTTTTCCACATTGCACAAGCAGGTCCAACTTACACTAATTATAAAAGGAAATATTGCATTGTTTAAATTTAAATATGCTCCTGACCTTTACTTTCTATTTCTTCTTTCATGTCCAAGCAGTTTATGATCAAGGATTCTAGAAATTTATAAAATACAGCTCTAATTTTGAAATTAAAGCCCTACCAGCAACATGAAGTAGTTTAATGTTTTCCCTGTGGATATGAATCTAAACTGGTCATGACTCACCCAGGAACATCTTGAATCCTTTTCCTTGGCCTTTGATCTAAGAGTTTCTCTTTAATGAAAGCTGCTGCATTAAGTGAAAAGAGATCCCTCCATAGAGGATGCAAGTAAAATGTCCTAGGCACCTCTTTTGAAGCTGACTTTTGCATATATACACATAATTTTTATTTCATACAAAATTATTTCTATATTTATAAATATGTTACCATACGAACCTAAAACATTCTTATTTAAATAAATTTTGTAACAATTCTGAATTGAGTTGCACTCTCATTTCAAATAATAACAATAAATAACAAACAAAACAGAAAGAGTGCTGTATTAGAAATCAGGCAATTCATAACTGAGCAATCTGATGAAATCATGTGAAAACTGGCATATAATAAAAAAAATTTTTAAATACTGCCATTGAATTTAAACCCCTTACTGTTGCATATCAGGCACCACCAGTAAGATATATGTTAGGTATTCATTCTGTCTTGGAGGACTTAAGCAATCTTTCAAATCTAATCTATGTTTCTTACAAAAAAGAAAATAGTTAATTGTCTGCTGCATGATTAAATCTCTTTGTAAGCAGATGCTATGACAGGTCATCTAAAGCACATCTATTTACCTTGGGATTTCAAGCCACTGTTGCAATTGAATTACATTTTATTCAGCAGTAAAACTTGGGTTTTCTTCATATTGAGGTAGAGGTGTTTATAGGAAAACTGAAGTGAAGTTTTGTTTTGTCTTAAAATTCATGGCTTTCTGGGATGCTTGATATCTGAGCAGACAGTATAAGACAGAATGAACACAGAAAATTTAAGCATTTGAGAAACCAGTCTTATGTGATTATGCCCCCATTTGATTTAAGGAAAATGAAATGAAAGAGTGCTCAACTGAGCCATCTAACAAGCTCTGGAAAGTTTGGTGTTGGTGTAACTGTCGGGTAAGGGAAGGAATAAAGAGACAATTGAGAGGATGTGCAAGTGAATGGAGGGTGGGCAGGAAACTGCTTGGTGAGCTACAGCATTTCCCTGATGGGCAGTGGCCATAGGGAGCCTGATTTGGTTCCCAGCTACATCCTGTCCTCTTAAAGATGTGAGGCATTTTTCATCACATCCATCCTTCAGAAAACTAGAGAAGGCTGCCATGGCGAAAAGGGGGCTTGTGGTTACTTAAGACTGGGAAGGAAATGAGTGCCCTTTCTGCAGAATAATAATATAAATAATTGTGATCTGCTTACTTATTAAAGTATCTCCTACTAACATAAAAATAAAGCAAATAATGCCCACCATTTCCGTTACTGTCTCCAATTGGGTAGAAGGCATTTGCCAATACAGTTGGCTTCTGTGGAGTATAGACAAGAATTAGAAAAGAAGACGCATGAATACGTTTTTAGAAAGTATGACTGTTAAAAATCTAGAGAACTTCAGTAGGATTAAGATGTGAGAATGAGTAAAGCTGCAAAAGTGAGAGAATACTTGATCGTGAAAACATGTTTATGTAAAAAAAAAAATCTAAAGAACTTCAAAATATCCATGAGAAAATACTAGAGAAAGAATAGAATTGAGTGAACATAGAAAAATAATTATTATTATATGTGAATTTATAAAGCTAGTATGTTCATTAGAAAAATACATCGAGGTAAGTTTATTATTACAAGCAATAAGCAAGAGGAATCTTTATCTCTCTGTCGCTCCCTGAATATCTGAACAAAAATGGAAGGGGCAAAGAAATTAGTAATGTAAACTGGAAATTATTTCACAGCATTAAATATACTGTTATTTAATATTAAAACACATGATATTAAAACATCACGGCACTCTGTAAGTACGGTTCTGCATTACTAATGGGTGGCTAGACTAATAACAGTAAATCTAGAAATAGAATTAATGGTGGATGGAAATTTAGTACATGACCATGATAGCATTTCAAATCATTGAAGAAAAGATGGACTTTTAGTAAGTATTGTTAGAATAACTGCACGGTTGCATTAAAAAAAATAAAATTCGATCCATTGCACTAAGGTAAATTAAATAGTGTAGGCCAGAGATTAAATGTTGTTTATTGATAAACCACAAGCTCTAGTTTAGATCTTCACTTTCCCCCAGAAGTCCATGTGTGGAAGGTTTGGTAACCAGCCTGTGGTGCTACCAGGAAGTGCTAGAACCTGTAGAAGGTGAAGCCTAGGGAAAAGAAGTTAGATCCCTGAGGGTGTAATCTTGAAGGGAATTTTACTATTGTGACCTGGCCTCCTCTCTTTGCTTTTCAGCAACTGTGAGATAAGCAGCTTCCAATACAACATGCTCCCACTATGATGTACTGGCACCCCAAAACAACCCACAGAGCCATGGGACCTCTCATTTCTGTCATGAAGCTTTGATATTATAGGTCAAGATTTAGTTTCCCTCTCAATGTGTCTTTCTAGGCTGAGAGGAAATATTTAGGTTGGCTGAAGCAGTTGTGTTCAAAAATTGCAAAACCAGGTTCCCAGAGTAATAACTGACTTTTGTAAAGATTATATAAATCTGATCTGTCTTCAGGTGTAATCAAGTTAAATTGACCTTCTGGGAAATATTCTTATAGTAAATATTGTGGCTGTAGTCATCATGCTGAACGCACAACCATTCAATGTAACACTTGCTTCCCTACAGGTTTCTTACTTTCTTTTCCTCTTTACTTTTCTTCCCTTCTTTCAGAGTCTATATAAATGGAAATATATGATATCTATTTTTTTTTCAGAGCAGCTTTAGGTTCACTGCCTTGGAGTCACTGGACCATGGACTGAAAGCTCTACAAACTATGAGCCAAAATAAACCTCTCTGACATTAAATTGTGGTTGGATGCTGTGTCTATGATGAGGAAAGTGACTGCAACATACCTTCTTTGGATTTGGACAAAGGTACAATGACAAGTATCCATCAATAGAGAAAGCAGAGTAGTTTTGGGCCAGGGATTTATCTCAGTGGCATTGTGCCTCCCTCATAAGCACAAAATCCTGAGTTCGATCCCAGTACCAAAGAAACAAAAAAACAAAAACAAAAACAAAAAAAACAGAGTACTTTCACTGCCCTAAAAATCCTTAGTGTTCAGCCTGTGTATCTCTTTCTACCTTCTAATTTCTGGCAATCACTGAAAATATTTAATATATTCATAGTTTTGGCTCATTTTTTTGTTATATAGTTGTAATCATAAGCTTTTTCAAATTGGCTTCTTTCACTTAGTAATATACATTTCAGGCTATTCCACATATTTTTAGAGCTTGAAAGGTCCTATCTTTAATCACTGAGTAACATTTCAGTGTCTGAATATACCACGGTTTATGTATCTATCTGTACACCTACTGAAGGGTATCTTGATAGCTTCTAAGTTATGGCAATTAAGAATAATGCTGCCATAAACATATGTGTGTCAGTCTTTTTGTAGTAATTTTTCAATTCCTCTGGGCAAATACTATGGCATATAATTGCTGGATTTTATGTGAGAATGTGTTTAATTCTATAAAAGCTACCAAATTGTCTCCAAAGATGCTGTATTAATTTTCCATTTCCACCATCAGTGAATGAGAGTTTCTGTTGCTCCACACCCTCATAAGAATTTGGCATTGTCAGTGTTTTGCATTTTTTACATTCTGATGGGCATGTAGCAGTTTCTTATTGTTTTCATTTCCATTTTGCTGACATTTGATGTAAAAACTAGGTTTATTGGCCAATTTTTTTGACATTTTCTTTGATGAGGCATCTGTTAATGTCTAGGATTTATTTTTATGTAATGTTGTTGGTTTTCTTATAGTTGTACTTCAAAATGGTCTTTGTATATCTTTGGGTAACAGTCCTACGTCAAATATCTCTTTTGCAAATATTTTCTTCCAGTCTGTGTTGGATTACTAATGGTCAGCTTGTGACACCCACCTGAATTGAATCAGTGTGTTCTGGGAATAAAGGACCCACCTCAGGATTGTTGCCAATAGCATAAAAAGAAAATTGGAGGAGATGATCAGGCCTGTTGTAGTTGGTTTTCCAGATGTGAACTTGGCTGTTCTCATTGGAGAAGCTCAGGGCCTGACTGTCACTGAATCACTGCTGTTCTCATCAGGGGAGCCTCTGATCTTCACCATGAGCTTCACTTCCTGGCTCTAGTATAGATCGTTCAGCCTGGTGACCCAAGTCCTTAACCCCACCAGTGCAGATTTGCTGGCTTCCACCACTGGCTTTTTGGCTTTCCAGGAGCAAATCCTCAATACGGACAAGCATGAGTTATTGCCATAGGCTCTACTGGCTGGACGCGTGGAGGACATTGCCTTGACCTTCAGGAGGACTCTCAGCCTTCAGCTGGATTTGAGTGAGACAATGTTGTGGGATCCAGACCCTTGGCTGTATTCTCTGGGTTCCTTGTGTACAGCTAGATCTCTTGGACTCATCTGCATTTGACTTTTTGGGTAATATGAATAATGTTTCCTGTATTTAATCTATTCCCTTGCAAACCCTGACAACAATACAGTCAGTGAATTGTCTTTTTTCCCTCTTGATGCTATCTTTTAAGAAGTACAAATATTTAATTTTAATTAAGCCCGGCTCATCAATTCTTTCTTTTATGGGTTGTGCCTTCAGTGTTGTATGTAAAAAGTAATCTCCAAATCCAAGGTTATCTAGATTTTCTCCTGTGCTGTCTTCGAGTTTTATAGTTTTGTGTCTTACATCTAGTCTGAATTAATTTTTATAAAATTTGTCTCTGGATTTACTTTTTGTTTGTTTGCTTGTGGAGGTCAAGTACCACTTGTTGAAAAGACTGTCTTTGTTCCATTGTATTGCCTTTTTTCTTTTTGTCAATGAGCCCTGAGTTGACTTTATTTCTATGTATCTATTTTTGTGCTTCCTATTCTGTTTCACTGATCTGGTTACTCACTCTTTTACCAACGCTACACTTTCTTGATTATTTTAGCTTTATAATAGGTTTTGAACTCAGGTAGTGTCAATCTCCTAATTATTTTTTCTTAATTATTGTGATGGTTATTCTGCACTTGATCTTAGCCAAAGGGCCGAGAAGCGATGTGTGTTGGTTATTCCGGGTCTTTTGCTTCTCCATATGAGCTTTATTTGTTGATATCTAAAAAGTCACTTCCTGGGAGTCTAAAATTGTATTCAGTCTATAGATAAAATTGGAAAAAAAAATCTGAGAAGTTGAAAAGATTGTGTCTTCCTTTCCATAAATGTAGAATATCTCTCTAACATTTCTAGTTTAAAATTGAGAAATATGTTTTAAATTTATGTCTGCCAAATTTCTACGTAGTTTGTGGACAAACTACAAAGTGTGTCTCAAATGTAGAACTTTTCAAATTTAGCTTTATTTCTCTAGTCTTCACCATTCAGGCTGGTCCCAGAGCTAGAAACCGTAGGAGGAGAAACAGAAGGTGTGAGTGGGTCTTCATTCTCACACCAATCTCTCAAAGCAGAAGAAAAGAGAAAGGGTAGTATGCAAAAGAGTTTTGTGCACTGTCGGGGTCAGGCGCTGCTCTTTTTACATGGTAGAGGCCCAAATTTTGGACTTCTGTCTTGAGGATTTTTTTCTGAAATACTGTTTTCACTTTACTTTTTATTTGTAACATGTTTGTAGTACATAACGATTGCATTCACTGTGGGAAATTGGTATATGTACATAATCTTGATTCTTTTTTACATCCCCTTCCCCTCTCCATCCCTTCTTCCATCGCACAGTCCTTTCCCCATTTACAAAAGATCTATCTCCCTGCTTCCTATTACAGTATCCGCCTTTGGGTTTGCTTTTTGATTTATTTCTACTCTGGGATTCTTGTATAAGGCAAACCATGCAATATTTAAGCTTGTGTATCTGATTTATTTTACTTAACATCATGGTCTCAAGGTGAATCCATTTTTCCTTCAAATGACTGAAATGTACTCTTCTTTATAGCAGAGCAGTACTCCATTGTGTATAAATATCACATTTTTTTTAATCCATTCTTCTACTGAGGGACATGGAGGATACTCCAAGAGTTAGCAATTATGAATTTTGTTACTGTAAATGTAGAATGCTGGGCATGGTGGCACATGCCTGTAATCCCAGCACTCTGGTGGCTGAGGTAAGAGGATCGCTGTGAGTTCAAGACCAGCCTGGGCTACATAGTGAATTCCAGGTCAGTCTCAACTACGTAGTGAGACCCTGTCTCAAAAAAGAAACAAACAAACAAAAAACTGTAAATATAGGAATGAATGTATCCCTGTAAAATGATGTATTTAACTGTTTCAGGAAGAATATAAGAATATAATATAGTCTCCTATAAGGAGAACACCTGGGTTAAATGGAATTTATTTTTTAGTTTTTGAGGAATCTCCATATTGATTCCCTTTACTGCTTGTACTAGTTTACATTCCCACCAACAATGTAGAAAAAATTATTTTTCACTGCAGCCTTGAAAGAATTTGTAATTATTTGATTCTTGATAATAGCCATTCTTTCTGGGGTAAAGTGGATTCTCAATGTTATTTTAATTTACATTTCTCTACTGGCCAGAGATGCTGAGCAGTTTTTCATAAATTTGTTGGCCATCTGTATTTCTTCTGAGAAGTATGTATTGTGACACTTCTGAGAAGCTGCCCATGTTTTGATTGTGTCTTTTACTTTGGGAAGTTTAATTTTTTGAATTTCTTACATAGTCTAGATTTTAATTCTATCAGAAGTTTAGTTTGTAAAAATTTTCTCCAATACTGCACATTGTCTCTTCACTCTGTTAGTTGTTTCTTTTTCTATACAGAAGATTTTTAATTTGATGTAATCCCATTTGTTGATTCTTGATGTTCCTTCTTGTGCAATTGAGATTCTGCTCAGAAAGTCCTTGCCTATTCTATGACTTCAAGAATTTTAACTATTTTATCTTCCAGCGGGTTAAATGTTTGTTTTAATATTTAGATCTTTGATCTATTTTCATTTTAGTTTAGGTTATGGTGAGAGAAATGGCTTTAGCTTCAATCTTCTGCATGAGTATAATCAGTTTTCTCAGTACCATTTGCTACAGTTGCTATCTTTCCACTTGCAAATACATTTTGTTTCATTTGTCAAAGATTAGATGGCTTAATGTGTTTGGTTTTGATTCTGTATCCTCTATTCTGTTCCATCTCTTCTCCTTCCCACCTCCAATCTCTTTTTGTTTGTTTGTTTTGCTTTGTTTTTGGGGTACCAGGGATCAAACTTGGGACCTTGCACTTGTGAAGAAGGCAACAGAACCACTGAGTTAAATCCCCGGCACCACTTCCAATCTCTTGAACTGAGGCCACTCCATACAGGCCTCTCTCTTGGCTTTGCTTTCCCAGGTATCATCTGCCAACTCCTCATCTTTAGACCTTTCTATTCCCTCTGCTGTGCTCTAGGGAACACAGGTTTGCTCTCCACACAGGCCTCTCCATAATCATCTCATTCTGTCAGAGGTAGAGATGGGTAACTTCAACACAGGTCCCAGCAACTTTCTTTTAAAGACATTCAAGCTTGGCCATCTCATCTGATCATGCTCTTTATGTATATAGGTCAAAGAGAATTATTGGGCAGGTTTTCTTGCAGCCCTGGGAGTAGGTCTGGAGGCATAATATGGCTATACCCTCTCTTAAGAAGTTGTGAGTTCTTTATAACTTCATCGCAGGTGGGTGTCAGGCTAAACTCCAAGACAAACAGAAAACATATATCTAAGATATTGTTACATAGGTTAATACAATTGAACAGCTTACAATGACTCATATATCCAGTCATGTCTGTGCCTGACTAGTTATATAGGTGTACTGAAGAAGCTATAAAAGAAGACTAGATTACAAGTCATTGAGAACTGGCAATAACAATACTAAAACAAGTGACATTTACTTAAAACACATTAAATCAACAGCATACTTGTGCTAGCTTGCTAGCTTGCCTAGCCTGATTTACCTGATTAGACCAGTAACCTTTGAACAGGGATATTGGACCTGCTCCAAAGTCAGAGCTGTAGGAGGCAGGTGGTAGGTAGTCATAAAATATTCCTCAACAGCCCACAAGACAGTGCCCCAAACTCCAAAGGCAAGAGGGGAAAGGGCATGAAGAAAAGCAGGGGGCAGTCTCACCCAGCCATGCCAGATAATGTGGGACTGTGCAGATACATGAAGCCTCTGCTTCTCAGCCAGTCCAGCAGCCACCGGGTCACAGCAGACTGGTCTAGTCCACGCCCACAAGGAAGGGACTTCCTCTGCCAGAAACAGCCTGAGGAAGCTGACATATACTAGTACCTGAGGAAAGTGGATGGAGGAGAAAAGTGTAGCTTTCAGAGTGCTTGAAAAAGGCGAATTAGAGAGGGAGGAGCAGGGAGCAGCAGGGGTGGGAGGATAGGAGAGGAGAGGGGAGGGGAGAGGAGGAGAAGAGAGGAGAGAGGAGGAGAGCGGAGGGGAGGGGAAGGGAAGGGAGAGCGGACAGGAATTTGAGGGAAACAATCTTTTTGGAAGCTAAAATGTGTTTCTTTAAACAGGCCAATTTTCATTTGCTTGTTGCAGTGTTGAAAATGGAGCCCAGGTCCCTGCAAATGCTAGGCAACCTCTCTACCACTGAGCCATACCTCCAGTCCTGGGCTGTGTTTCTTTGATTCTAGAAGACTAGATCATGTTAGTGGACTGTTATAAATGTCAGGAGTAAATGATTAGGAAGTTAATGTGCTAAATGGGACAGTAAAGATTACAAGAACAATAGAAACCCTGAGAGTAGGCTGATAAGAGTAGGCTGAAGTGGGAAGGAAGTCAGCCTCATGGGGATTTGGAGGCCAATTAGAGCTGGCTATGCAAAGGAGGGCAGGGAGAGTACATACCAGAAAAGAAAAAAGCTTCAGCAACTAAAAGAATATCATTGTTAAAAATCCTAGATCACTTAAGGAAAAACAAAATACTTTTTTCTTGGATCTTTTTCTTGGTTTAATCTCAGCCTCTGAAGCCCTTTCTGGATTGGCAGCTTTAGCTGAAGTTGGCCTAAAGTGCTTGCTCCATTTAGGAGGCAAGCACAGCCCCTTTCCAAATTTTCTAGCCTGCATCTGTTCCCGCATATTTGTTTGTAGCTTTGCTGTGACTCCTGCAAACATGTGATTTCATTTTAAATGCTGTCCTAGGTTTTCCTATGCAGGTCAATCTTTGTAGAAGCACAGGCCGAAGATGCAACTAGACTGGACTTTATTCTTCCTTCTGATTTATATTCATGGCCATATGTGCCTTTGGAAGGAATATCCATTATCCATTTCCTCTTAGTCATCTGTACTCTAGCTTGAGTAGTAAAGAGTTGTCTTTTCTCTCTAATTTACTCTGTATTTGTTTCAACATCATGAGTCAATTTATAGAATGAGCTTGTGGACCATGCTGGACACCAACAGACAACATTCTTACCTTCTCAATACCTTAAATTAGGACAATTTTGTTGAGGTTGCACTCATAGCAGATGCTAGCCTAAAATGCAGATGACACCTGTACCCTTCCACTCTTGTTGTGTCTACAAAGAGTTCCATTAACATCATATGCAAGATTTGTTTCTTGACTCAATTCTTATTTTCCTCCCTTCCCTCTGTCTTTTTCCATCTCTTTCTCCCTTTCTATTTCCCTCTCTCCCTCCCTCTCTTTCCCTCTCTCTTCTTTCCTTCCTTCCTTAAATAATAAGTTTTGGGGGATATAACTTTTATACCAAAATTCACAAATTTCATGTGCTTAATCTAATCAATGTTAGTAAATTTATACAGTCAAACAATCACCCAACAATCATACTGTAGACACATCTAGTACTTCAATTGTCCAACCAGCCCCTTGAAGTATTTCCCCTGTGCCTGGCACACTTGGTTCCTTCCATAAATATGAAAAGCCATGTTAGCATCTAAACAGAGCATGGTCACATAAATATCTCCTAAGGTTTCCTGATCTTAATCTATAGCTACTGAACTTTGCCAATCATTTTTCAATTGGCTTCTGAAGAACCAGAAATCGTTAAAGATCTGTCTGCCTTCTGACCAACTCCTAGCTCATCATCTTCATTGATTGCTCCTTGTACACAAAGACATCTTTACTCCATGTTCCAAAAAATATGTCATGCTAATTGGCATCCCCTAGAGACAGGAAGGAGAGGATTTTGAACTTACAGAAAGAGATATACAAGTGTAATTAAATGTAGTAAACACAAATTCCTACTTCTTGTTGTCTTTTGGCTATATTTTGACAAGATTTGGTGTCTGAGAGATGTCTCCTTATTCTATTGTCCTGGGGAAATAGGAAGAGATAAAAAATAATGAATGAGGCTGAGCAAGAAATTACGACAACAAACAATGACAGCATCAATATGATAAAGTCAACAAAGTGCTCTATTGCCCATTGGTTAAGCATGTGCCAAACATGGATTGGATTCTGAGGTATCAGACCAGCATAAATCATGTGGGTCTGGCCCACAAGCTCACCATCTAGTAGAGGACAGCCAGGTAACCAGGCAAAGATGAGATATAATCCAATCAACTATAAATCAGGCAAAGACAGCTAGAGAAACATACACAGAGAGAAGGATAGGAGCTCATGTAGTTAGGAAGCTTCCTGGAGGTTGTGACATCAAAAACCAGGCTTAAGAAGCTTGAGAAATAGGAAAGACCTGGCTTTGACCTCTAGCACTGCAAGTGATTTTTAAAAATTCCATATGTAAAATTAAATGTTTTCTTCCTGTCACAGATTATTTTAATTAAATATTGTGGTGTCAATATCTCTTACCTAATGTCAATTATCACTATCACCAAAGTACTAAAACACCTCTTGGAGTTGATCCTTCTTTCTTTCTTTCTTTCTTTCTTTCTTTCTTTCTTTCTTTCTTTCTTTTTTTGCATGATCAGAGATTGAAACCAGAGCCTTTGCACTAAGTTGTACCTCCAGTATCTTTCTTAATTTTTATTTTGAGACAGAGTCTCCCTAAATCATGAAGGCAACCTCCCATAATGCTGATTTTACAGGCATATGGTGTGGTTAACACCTGGCTGGAGCTATGATCTCTAAACTCACTTTCTTTTTGTGCCTTGGCTTTTCTTCTTCAAGTCATAGGCCCTTTTTCTGAAGCTGAAATGCTCCAGATCTTGTCTCACTACAGTCTCACTAATGTTACATAAAGCACCGCAATGCATGTAGCCTTATACTCTTTTCCAGTACCCATGAAAAATATTTTCCAGTTTAACAAGCCTTGTTTAGACATTCCCAATGATGCTTTTAATATTTCTATGGCCATTACCAACTCAAATCTTTTTGTTGATCACACAGTGCAGTTTGAAGTGATTCTGTTGAATTCTTAATTATATCTTGCTGTTAGCCCCGGGATAAGTATCCATCTTTACTTCGTGAGCTTCACTTTTCGATTACTTTTAAAAGCAGTTTTACTTAACTGTAACCTTGCTTTCAGCAAAAACAGTGACAGTTGCTTCAGTGTTGCTGTCAGTACTTGAGGGACTACCCTTGTATGGATTCATATTCACAATCAATAGTCAGCGTTTGGTGTACCTATATAACCACAGGCAAATTCTAGAGATGCTATGATCTCTGAGGAAGCCATAAATGTTAGGCTTACAATTTGCTTAGCAGTGAATGCTCAAAAGTTCTATATACTCGCAATTTTTAGGTGGTTAATCTTAAAACCCACTTAAAATCAATGCCTTTTAACTATGCAGCAAGTGGGCAGCATTTAAGTGCTTTTATATGCATATTCTACCATTTAAGAATGTTCTGTACATCTTAATATTGACTTTTATGATTGAAGATAGATTCATGAATTACACATTAAAATTTAGTAAGTACTCAGTATCTTTATTGCTAAGACCACTGAAACTGAAGAAGGTACTTATTTCTCTGTTAAATACGTCTGTATACTACATTTGGAGAGCGTTTATTGACTCAAAGATTGTGTATTGCAGACCTACTGACCGTCTTGGTATAATCTTTAAATCAAGCAGACTTTGTCAAGCAATTCCTCCGCCTTCAACTTCTGAGAGGAGGGCGGGGCTAATAATCTTTGTGAGAGAAGTATAGTGTGTTTTCCTTTATTATAAAAGCCTATAATCAAGGTAGGTTTTTCAGCTTTATAGAGGGTGCTGTATTCCAGCAGGCAGAGCAAAGAGAAAATCTATACATACACGTTTAGATATTGACAGAGGCCAACAGAATAAAAAACCAAGTAAAATCCCTCTGCTCTCCGCCCAACCCCCGCCTGGTCTGGAAAAGCAGAGAGAAGATTTATAGCTACAGGCTCTGTCTACACACGTGTCGGGGTAAACTTACAGGTCTGTTTTGAAAGGTTTAGCCTCTTTTCCTTTGTTAATTATCTTAGAATAGGTAGGGAAAGATACACTTGTCACTGTGGCTTTATTTTGGCAACACCTAGAGAACAAAGGGAGATTTCACAAGGAACTCAGTACCCTTTTCTGCATGGAAAGCAACTCCTAGCTTCCTGGAGGTTTGCAGAACCCCAAACCACCAGGAGCTACAACAGTAGGCAAGTCAGTGCAGCGCCAGCCCTGGGCACAGAAGCGGCGGCCCCGCCCACAGGCCCGGCCGTCCCGCCTAGGGGAGGAGCGTCCTTCGCCCCGCCCCCGGCGTAACCCGGATACACACGCACGCTCCCCTTTCACCTCGCGGCCCTTGGCTAAAGTGGAACCCGAACCTACCTCCGGGTGGAGGAGTTGGTACGCGCCGCCAGTGCGAGCCGGGGAGCAGGGCGGTGAGGGTGCTGTTAGCGGCGCGGCTGGGCCTCTCTTGGGAGCGGGGAGGGATGGGGCGCGAGGGCGCTGAGCGGAAGGCGTCCGTGTAGCCCGCGCAGCGCCCGGCCTGTGAGTCCTCCGTCCCCTGCG